ACAATATTTGTGACTTATGGGGCTTGGCTCAAGAAATATTATGTTTGTTCTAATTTGAATTCTGTTTAATATTTATTTTCATGAGTCCTATATCTTGTCAAGTACGTGACCATGTCATACTGGGGGTAGAAAATTGTTAATAATATGGACTCATGACCCCACTGCTAGCAATGTACCATGTCAGGTTGACCTCCACGCGGTTCTCCCTGGAAACCATCGTGATAAATTCCTGATGAATTTGTCACGATGGGCTAACTGACCTGACTCCATGCTCATCTTATCATCCTCCACTGGTGCACCGCCAGCGTAAACCGGTTCACCTGATGGTAAGTGATTACCGCCGCCCATGAGCACCCGCAACACCAGGAGAATTGCAAGTACGTTGTCGGCCTTTTAAAAAGGAATAAGCTCTTTTCTTGAAGGTTTCAATATCATATCGGTTCGGAAATACCATTGCTGGAAGGTGATTCCACAATGTGGTTGTGCGGGGCAAAAAGTTTCTGTACTGTGGAACCGTACTGTGGAAGACCACCATTCATCCAGATGATCAGGATGGTATTTCAGTTTCTGGCGGGTGGTACGGTGTTGAAACTCAGCAGCTGGTATTAATCCGAACAATTCCTCAGAACACTCCCCGTGATATATGCGGTAGAAAATGCACAGATATGCAATATCTCGCCGCAAAGCCAATGGGTCGAGTCTGTCACATAGACTTTGATTACCAATGATTCTGGCTGCTCGGTTCTGAATGCGGTCAAATGGAAGTAGATGGTATTGTGAAAACTTACCATGAGGTGAGTCGCAAGCAGTGAAATTACTGGTTACGAATCGTGTTTATAATAATTAAATATTATTATATTATCCGGAATAATAATATTAAATATTATTATTCCGGAGGTCTTCCTCCTTATAATAATAGTATCACTGGAATTTACACGTAGCCATTCAGTTAAGCGAAGGGTATTTTCTGTATATATTCTTTTAAAATATGTATATACATAATATACATAAAAAACACGCAGACAAATACAAACAATCACACTCATAAATACAAATGTTCACTTCGTTCCTAGAATCGAATCGCGTATTCGATTCCAGTGAAAGTAAATTAGGGAACTAACTTATAGGAAAGCGAATGGTGGTCAGGTTTCCGCACTGAACATTTAAAGTTTCACACATGCTAACAAAATAATTTTAATCTATTTAATAATTAAGGCGTCTAGGATATGTATTTATTTATTTATTAACATACAAAACAGATTACAATCAATATAATAATATAATTAGGAGCGTGTAATTCAGTACAAAACTAGATTTTAATCCAACACTATGTATGCCTAAAAGCTAAATTATATAGACGCATTCAATATACGCTAGATAGCTAGATAAGGTTATATAAAGAAAAGTAAACTAAATAGAAAATAATATATAACTACGTAATGCAATGAATTATCATGTTAACAGAATATTACTTAATTTAAAGAAAAAAAAATTGGTACAATATTAAATATAATTTGTCTCTTTACGGTGGAAATTTAATTGTCTCCGGAACTGGACCAGTGTTGAATGAAAAATATGTATATGTCTATTCGAGACAAGAATTTCATTGTATTGTATATATATATATATAATGTTACTAGCTGAATCTGTTAATTTGTATTCGTGATAAATATTAGGAATAGTAATAGTTTATTATATTAGTGGCGTTGGGCCGGTCATGTATCTCGAAGCGGAGATGACAGATGGACATACAGATCCCTAATGTGGCGACCTAGGATGGGAAGCAGAAGCGTAGGCAGACCTGCCAAATGGTCTGACGACATCAAGAAGACGGCAGGGCCGAGCTGGACAAGATGCGCCACAGATAGATCAAGGAACAAAATTATGCAGGAGGCATACGTCCAACAGTGGACTAACAGATCCTGAAAGAGAAGAGAGAGTACAATAAAATTAGACGTTTCTGAGATAGCGAACACAAACAGACAATATTTCTATTTTTTTTTTTATTTTGTTTTAGGTTCTCTCATGTTGATAAAATCCCGGATCATTTTTTTATATACCATTCAAGTGCAGACAGAAATCAGTTCCATTTTTATTATATGAATAGACGTATGAATAAATTAGGTATGCAGACAGTTTAATTAGGTAATCATTGCATTGTTCTTGTTGCTCTAACTAGGAAATTAAATGATCTGATGTCACGTAAGGGGCTAACCATAAACTATGTCACAAGGGAGGAAGGGGACAGGAGGAGGGGGTAGGTCGACAAAGTGTGATAATGTAATTAGGGTTGAGAGGGACAAGGATCCTAAATTATATTACACTTGTTTTAAACACTTATCTATATAAACAGGGTTTATTTGTTACTTCTGGCGAGTTTTCCCCGCCAGCGTAAACCGTTAGCCTAGGCGGGTGCACCATTCCATTATCTAAATATATATAACTCAAAGATGACTGACATAGTGATCTATCAACGCACAACCCAAACCACTGGACGGATCGGGCTGAAATTTGGCATGCAGGTATATGTTATGACGTAGGCATCTGCTAAGAAAGGATTTTGATTAATTCTACCCCCAAGGGAATAAAATAGGGGATGAAAGTTTGTATGAAACTTTGTCAATTTTAAACCGACCGGGCTGAGACTTTGCATACATAAATCTACTATGACGTAGGCATCCCCTAAGAAAGGATTTTGATAAATTCCACCCCTAAGAGGATAAATTAACGCGAGCGATACCGCGGGCAAAAGCTAGTTATGAATTTAAAAAAACTATGTATTGATAGCAATTCGAACCAAGAAGAAGGAAGGAAATTTACTTTTTTTTTTACATGATTGCGAGGGCGCTGTTTCCAACCAACCGCTCAATTATATTATGCGATTCCTGCGGGCGGCATAATACAACTTTCTTGACCATCTTTGAAGTTTTGGACAGGAAGGATATGATTCACCTCGATCTGCGATAACTTCACTGCCACATCTCACCAGTAGCCCCGGTCTATAGCTCGCAAAGCAAGCTGTATATTGTCATAAAAGGATAAGACAGAAATGCCAATCCAGGACAACCTTGTACAAAGTTTTCTTTTTCAGCAAAAGACCACCAGGTCTTTTCTGTCTTGTACAAAGTTTCCTTCTCTGATGGTATTGCGCTGTCTGCTAAGATAAATTTACATTGTAATTTTTTACTGTTACCCCTATTAACAATATTTTTTGAGAAATACCTCGTGCTGTGAGCGCAACCAGCAAAAAGTCAGACTATACAACCGAAATAGGTTTTGCAAAATTGTTAGACACAAAAAAAAGTCAATTACTTATTAGCATGCATGAGCAAAAGTTTTTATTTTGAACAAGGAAGTGGTCAGTAGCGCAGCTCAAGGTCTGGCAATCAGAATAATTTGTCATAACTTTTGGACATAAAGTAATGTAACGTGGACTCCATTCTCCGCAATTAGCCTGACATTTGGACCGTTGTGCGTGTAGAGCCGAGATTGCTAAAGTAGCCAGCCAAGCACCTCCCAGAAGCGCAATTATTGTAACTACAATATAGTGTAAGAAATATTATTAATTATTACGCTATTATTATTATTCACACAAAATCTTAAATATGTAAACATTGGTACACAAAAGACTTCTGCAAAAACTTGGGCTGAATCTCCATTTCGAACGCTCGGTAAAAAAAGTATTTGCTCATTTGAATGCTCTTTGTCACTAATCAAGTGATATGACGGTAGTGTAGTGGTTTTGCAGCACAGCGCCGCTTCCGATGGTCGTATCTTCGATTCTTGTACAATGCAATCATTTATATATGTGTATATATATATAGGGTCTTTAAATATAAAATAATATTCAGTTTATTAACACTACATCTTAGTGTAGGGTAGAGTTTGTCCTTCAAATGTAATATTATGTTATCTGTGGTGTTATTTTCAGGTTGCATATCTACCTACATAAGGTACGAACTCAGTTGACTCATTTAAGTTTAACAACTTAGAAATAAATTAGAAACGGAGTAACATATAATTCTGCACTAACTAACTTGTAAAGTGTAATTCAATAAATTACTAAAAATAAAAATTGAGTTTTTTGGTTCGAGAATGAGAACAATACTTTATAATCTCTATAGGCGTCTACAGCGCCATCTAGTCTAAGGAAAGAAAATCATGTACATCGAGGAATAGCACGGATAGAATATTACATATACAATAGTCAACTACGATTGTTCCCAGGACAGACCCCGTGGAGGGCGACTTTACATGGGATTATAGATAATATAGACCTCTGTAAGGTCGACTTCCATCAATTAACCCATTGTCACCACGAATTTATCACAATGGATTTCAAGGGGCCTGACATGGAATATTGCCATTAATTAAGTTATTAGTCCACATTACTAACAATCCCTTTCCTCCCAATTAATGAAGGAACGAAGGTATTTATTTGTTAGAAAATAAAATAGAAACCGCGAGTATTCAATGGTGAGTCTGAGTGTATAGTTATTGAATACATGATGAGATTTAAAACAAAACATAAAATATATCTCTTCATATTTTCTGTTTTAATTATATTTCAATAACAAACTGAAGTTATTGTATTATTATTGCAAATTGTGTTTGTTCTTAATATTGACATGTTATATACTTATATATTACATGTTTTTATTATTGACATCACGGATATCGATTAAATTAAAAGGCTAAAAGCATCCTTTTTGTAACACTGTAGTAACACGTAAGTACATTGATTACCGCTAGATGGCAGTAAATGGTAATATGTACACTCGGATACTTTTCGTAATAAAAAGTAATGACTTAAAAACGCATACATGTCAATAGTTATTTTATCTTAGTACATTGTATAACAAATAATTCTATTTACCATCGCGTGAATATTTTTATAAATATAATTATTTTAATTAGGTTTTGGTTATATTTTTTACAATGGCCACCCTCCAAATGACGTGGTTAAAAAAAAGTTATTAATTAGTCTATTCGCCATTAAAATGGCGTCATCGAAGGAAACTTATTGTTTGTGTGGTCAACCATATAATATTGGACAGTTTATGATAGAATGTGACTGCTGCCGTGAATGGTTTCATGGCAGGTAATGTGAAAAATATATGAGTTTCTGTGTGATAACTTCGTTGTGTGTTAAAAAAGATGGTGTTTAGTTTGACAGAAGCCTGCCGTTCGGCCATACTCTTGTCGCCGAATGTTTTCTTGCATTATTATCATTTACGTTGTATTCATATGCTTGATTTACCAACGGACGTATTATTAAACTATTTTAATAAATAAATAATAATATTATCCCCTCTATTACAGTGTCCATAATTGTTGTACATAGTTAATATTATAAAGCAAGTGCGCCGTTCAAAATTCTTTGTTTTGTTATTCTATGGTCTCGCCTCGATACCACATTCAAATAAGAAATATCAAATCAAAGTAGATACATAAAATTATTTTCTACCACCATTTGCATTAAATTATTTAATGTAATTAATACCTGAATAAAGTACATAAGTACAATCTGTAGTTTTAATTTCATAAAAAAAACAAATTGATTATCGTATTGAAGTGAAACCACGTGCCTATGTTTTTATTATAACAAATTTATTATGTTTACACAACGAATGATATAATATATAATTAGCCCTGCATTTTTAGTTCACAATATTTAAAAACAAAGAAATGTCTGTTATTGATGGATATAATTTTAATTTAATTATTTTAAATTTATGTATTTAAGACACATTATTATGTCTGGTTTTCAGACTAGACTTTAGGTTTCAGAGCAGGAGTTTTATATATTGGTTTTTGTATTCATTGATCTGTGATCTTCATCGCTTATATATTGGGATATTTAATTTTTAATTGTAATAGTAGTTCAAAATAATAATCTTGTTATTCATGAATAGATTTTTTAATAATTGTACTATTTTGAACTAATTCCTGTTTTATCGTAATATGGCAACTTAATAATATCTGTAAATGAGTAGTTCTTTTGATTTTAGTGGTAGTTTTGGCTTTAGTGGTGTTGCAGTTTAGCAAGTGAATTTACTTCTGATGGTCACCAGTTCTATTCCTCACACTCTATAATATTTATGAGTATGAATGTTTGCACTGGTCTATATATTTTCAATGTTTAATATGTATTTACAAAAAAAGGATATCAGATGTCTAGTACTCATAACACAAGTTCTGCTTGTTTGGAGACTCGATGGGGTTGTGTGTAGTGTACAGGGGTATTAATATTTCTATGTAATTAAGTGGTAAGCTAATTGCCCATCTGATCTCTGTATACATGAACAACATAACACATTATCTTGCTATGAACGTAGTCACTCTCAGGATTTGTTCGAGGACTATGAGTTCATACCTCCATGCTCAGTAAATTCATAAGTTAATCTGCCTTCACTTTCAAGATACAGTAGAGATATCTGAACTTCTTGAAATGTAGCAGCGTTTTCAATCATTCAATCCTACATTTTATAACTGTATTACTATTGGCAATGAATAGATTTATTATTATTTTTTGTGATAAACGATGGAGTGATGTACATACATGCTGTTGTAATTTGGACTCTATTCTACACATTTAGTGTCTCATCTAGGCCGCTGTATGTGTAGAGACGAGACCTACAAATATGCTATATTTAATAGCATGTTTGTAGGTCTCGTCTCTTCGTCTTTCAAAAGTGTCTTCTATACTCAAAAGTGTTATTAACTTTTGAGTATATTTTTCCATGACCTGTAGTTTGTGTGAGAACACTTTTTTTTTTCTTTTCATATTAATTTCTTTTCTATCTGCAATAAGCCCTTCCGGCTATAATCAGATTGTGTGGTGTTATGGGCATTTGGAGATGAGGCACATCCAGTGAGGTGCCATCTCATTTTTTTTTTTCAGATGTTGGCAATGCGAGCCCTTTTTAGTCTAGATGGATAGTTATATGTATCTAGTAGTTTTAAAGCTAAGTTGTTATGGCCAGGTGTGAGAAAACTAAATATTATTATTTACTAGCTGTTCCCGCGACTTCGTTCGTGTGGAATTATACTTTATTTTTTTAAATAAAAGTAGCCTAAGTTACTCCTTATTACATTAGCTACCTGCCAAAAAAAGTCCCGTTAAAATAGGTCCAGCCATTTCAGAGATTAGCTGGAACGAACAGACTGACAGACAGACAAAGATTGTAAAAAGTGTTTTTTTTTTTAAATGTACCGTATTTATAATTATGCATGTAGTAAAAAACGGTTATTTCAATATTACAAACAGACACTCCAATTTTATTTATATGTATGTATTGTATATGTATGTATGATTATCTGCATTTAGCTTCTCATTTACCTCGTTCTGTGTTTAGAGATGAGACTATTACAAACATGCTATTAAATAATAATTTTAAGTATACTTTTCCATGACCTGTAGTTTGTGTGAGGTAACTAATTATAATTATATATTTTATCCTCTGTTTCAGCTGTGTGGATGTTAAGATATACCACTCTGATGACATTGATAAGTATCATTGCCCTAAATGTGCACAGACATATGGACCTTCTGTATGTGAGTATTGCATCAATATTTACTATTAAATAGAGTGTGGATGATTTTTGTTTGATAGAACTAGAAATATAATAGACTTTAATCAAACTTAACACAATATATTTCCATATAAATATATGTACTGTATATTTATACTTTATGGTATAAATGTATGAAACTATTGTGATAAATTCATGGTGAATTTACCACTATGTGACTGAGTTGACCTGACCTCATGCTCATCTTATCAACCTCATCTGGTGCCCCGCCAACGTAAACACCTAGCGCAGAGCACATCCATAAAAAAAATCACCTCCTATGCCTTTTATTATTAAATTTATTTGTTTAGTTTTCTGAATGAAGTCATTATTAATATCTCAAATTCAAGTTCAATAAATAATAAATATATTTTACTAACTTATATCACATTTTATATCTTTCTAATCAATTGAAACTGTATATTGAATTGAATAGTAGGGAAAAAATATCGATATATAAAACTTGATGTTCATAAGCAGACATATATTTGATTTTTTGTATTATCTAATTTGATATATAATTTTATATTTTTCTTCTCAATTGGATCAATATTGAATTGGGCGGTAGGGAAACAATATCAATACAAAATACTTGATGTTCATAAGTGGCTTAAACATGCTCGACATAAATGAATGATTTTTAATTTTTTTTATTATTCACATTTTATTTTTTTCATATTTATATTTTGTAATCGGCTCATAAGTCTTTAACAGATTTCTTGTGGGAGTCTGATGACGGGAGACAACTGTACCTCCAGTGAAGAAACTGTCTCATTTTACTTTACTGTTATTATATTTGAATGAATATATTTTTTATTGTATGTTCCAGTAAAAATTCCAACGAATAACCACAGAGCTGATCGGTATGAGATCGGAGCGGAGAGTCACCCATCTCAAGTTGGGACACCAGCCTGGGTCCGGGCTTTGTCCGCGCGACCTTTACGTCCGTCACAAGCTGCTTTACAACGACTCCGATCACATCAGTTCACTGAGGAGTTTATCAGAGACGACGGATTTACCAAACCGGTCATATTTAGTACTCCCGAGGGATTGGACTTGAAGGTTCCCAACCCAGCTACGTTTACCGTGAGATCTGTGCTTCGATTCTGTGGTGCACAATTAGAGGTAATGTTCACTAACTCCATACAACTTTCTGGTATAGTTTGTCCTTTAAATGAAAGGTAATAGCAAAACAAACAGCTAAACAAATTAGGATCAGGAAACCTCACTATACATCCTATGTGGTTGTAGCCCACTCATGAATACACGAAATATGGAAAGTATATCCAGAGGAGACAAAATCCATCGCTCCTAAGAGTATTCTTATATTGCGTCATTGGGGTTCTTAAGATATAGTCGAGCGCAGTGATGGCTGGCTCATCCGTCATACTCATGAACGAGTGCTGCTTGTAGGGACTGGTCTGCTCTTATCACTACGACTGATTTAAACTTATTGTTGTATTTATATATATATATATATATTATAGTATTTATATTTAATTGTTATATTTGAGCCTAAAGGAATTAGTGCTGGTTGGTAGTTTGTATTCACACGTTTCGACTTGTAAAATGTGAACTTACAAAGATTATTTAAAAGAGTAACACACAATATTCTTCCTTATTCTTCTTGTGATGAGACAGCTTTCCGAATGAGCGGTAGACATAAATAAAAAAAATTTGACTATTCAAAAGTGCTTAAATTAAGTTTATTGAATTAATGATTTTCTATTCTATTCTATTCTATTCTTAAATTATTGTTACTGACGATTACTTGATAGCAAACTCTGAAAAAGGGAGCACAATATCTTTACGCAGGTCGCACTGCTACAGGTTTTAGCTCCTGACAATATTAAATAGAATATAATTTAGATCGTTATCTGGGTTTTTTTACACAAATTATTTTATGGTAAATAAGGATATTTACCTATCCCTTGACCCTCGACGTTTCATCTAAGTTGCACTAGGCGTAGTCAGGAGATGACTGGAGTAACAGTGATCGGACGATCTAGTGACGGTAGTAAAATAAAAAAAACGTGGAGAAACCTTTATTGTCCATAAAATGATTTCTGTTAAGAAATAGAAATAAGCTTTACTTAAATAAACTCAATACAATCATTTTATTCTACCACTCATTCCGAAAACTCATCACAAGAAGGATAAACCTTGCTCTTTTGAATAGATGTTATTTAAAATAGATAATTAAATAAGACCAATTAAAAACGAATGTTTAAAAAATAAAACTTCATTTATTATATAATAAACAGGTTGAGGTGATAGATGTACGCAAACAGTCCACATTACGGATGCCCTTGGGTGATTTCGTCGATTACTTCGAGACCCCACCAGAACACCGCGACGACAAAGCTCTCAATGTCCTCAGTTTGGAGTTCTCAGACACCAAGTGAGTATCACCAATGTATCACATGTTCAAATTCAAAATATCTTTATTCATGTAGGTCTATTACCGACTCTTACGATATGTCAAATCTACCATCAACTTGGAGTGCCTTTGAGTTAAGAAGAACTGACAAGAAACTCAGCTCATATTCTTTTCAATGCTGTTTTTTTTGCTATTCCAATTAACAGCACATCCATGAAGAATTCATAAATTGGTGCTACCTAAGGAGACTGGTCTGTTGGGTTACAGTCACTAATTAGACTATATCCTTTTGACAAAATTGCAATAGTGTATGATGATGGTCACATTATTCTCTCTAATTGAAGTTAAAAATAATCTGTATTTTTGTAATAATATATGTCTAATTTGAAAAGAATAAGAGCTGTCAGCTCTTATTCTTGACATATCATATGAGTCTGTAATAGACCTACATGAATAAACATATTTTGATTTTGTTTGATTTGAAAAAGCCAATTCATTCGTTTACCGAATGTACCTTGTTGTTTTATCTCTCTGTAAAAATAATAGAAAATTTACGCCTTAAGGAATGTCCATATTATTATATCATATGGTAAGTACATAAAATAGGTGTACCTACTCCGATGACTGATGGTGATGTGTACTGTGTCAGCCTGGCGCCGCTGGTGGAGCCCCCGGGGCTGGCGCGGCGGCTGGACTGGGCGGAGCGCGCGTGGCCCGAGGCGGCCGGGGAGCGCCCGCGCCCCGCCGTGCAGAAGTACTGCCTCATGTCCGCGGCCGGCTCCTACACGGACTTCCACGTTGACTTCGGCGGCACCACCGTCTGGTACCACGTGCTGCACGGCCGGAAGGTATAACAAGCCTGCCACTTGTTGAACGACCTGATATTATGACAAAGGTGTACGAGGCATGAAAGCCGCAAATCCGGCTCGAAGGACCAAAAACTATGTACAACATAGTTAAAATTGTGGAGATAAATAAAAACGCGATAATGCTATTTTCTAATCTTTCTAATAATATTTTTATTCTTAAAACAAATTCAAAATAAATACGAAATAGTTTTTAAGTCTCGTACATAAAGTGCATACCAATAGTTATTCATACACGGGATTTTCATTTCACGTTGGACATATACACCTATATAAATGCATAATGTAAATAAATTGGCTTTGAAAAAGATCTATGAAGTTACATGCCAGTTCTTCTCAATTGAATCTGTATACTGAACTAAACTATAGAGAGAAATTCTCAATACAAAAAACTTGACATTCATAAGCGACTAAAATGTCCTACATGAATAAATTATTTTTGATTTAATTTGTTTAATCTTACTCTATTATTTTTTTACCGCCTCGGTGGACCAATGACTTAGCACACTACTTTAATTCCGATGGTCGCGGGTTAGATTTCACTATAATTTATATCCCATAATAGCTCTGCTTATATACCACACCATCCATTCATCCATTTTTCTATTTATTCAGATATTCTACTTGGTACCTCCGACGGCCACCAATCTTGCCTTATACCAGCAGTGGAGCGCCGCCAACAACCAAAATGAGCGGTTCTTTGGAGATATGGTATGCAAATTTAGATCTTTACTAATATACTAGCTGTGCCCGCGGTTACGTGAAATTTGTAGCCTATATGTTATTCTGATGTATAAGCTATATTACTACAAAGTTTTAAATTGAAAAATTGAAGAATTCGTTAACGATAATAATGTTTTTATAGAAAAACTTTAAATCCATAGCACTGACAATATTATATAATTACACTAATAATGAGTACGTAGCGATTTCTATGTTGATTATCGCATGCCTCTTACTTGTTATACTGTAAATATTTATCTAAAAAAAAACATCTATTAAAAAGAGCAACACACAAGTTTCTTCCTCGTTCTTCTTGTGGTGAATCTGCATTCCGAATTAGTGGTAGAATCAAAATATGACTATTCAAAAGTGCTTGTAATGAGTTTATTTGTATAAAGATTATTTCTATTTCTATTTCATTATAAACCGTTTTGTAGTTTTTGCGTGAAAGAGTAACAAACATCCATTCGTATTCACAAACTTTCGCGTTTATAATATTAATAAGATCCCCCCGGTTTCCCCTGGAGATCATCGTGATAAATTCCTGATGAATTTGTCACGATGGGCTAACTACTCTGACCTGATGCTCATCTTATCATCCTCAACTGGTGTCCCGCCAGTGTATACCGTTCGCGCAGGCGGGTGCACCATTCCATTATCATCCATAAAAAAAAATATAACTTCACTATTTTGTCTCACTGCTTGATATATCGAAAACCTTTGAAATTAGATCCTCTTTACGAGCAAGTGAGTTACAAATGTATATTATTATTAATGTTGGTGTCAGGTGGAGTGGTACGGCACGGCGGAACTGCTGGCTGGACAGACGCTGTTCATACCCTCAGGGTGGATCCACGCGGTGCTCACGCCGTGCGACTCGCTGGTGTTTGGCGGGAACTTCCTACACTCGTATGCCATAGAAATGCAGCTGCAGTGAGTTCTTAGGAGTTGTTATTAAATGTATTTTTTTTAAGTTAAAGTTCCTTTTATTTATGTAAATAATAATAATAATAATAATAAAACTCTTTATTGTGTACACATAAAATAATGAGAAAATACAGTAAATAGTAAAATAATAACAAAAGGCGGTCTTATCGCTAAATGCAATCTCTTACTGACAACCTAGAAGACCTAGAACCTATTAATACGTATTGCACCGAGCTAGAAATCGAACTCGCGACCATCGGAAGTTAGGCAGTGGACTAAACCGCTAGACCGTCATGCCATACGTGGTTTGCACTTACAGTTACATAAAAATATATATATTTAAAATCTTGATGGTGTGTCTGTCTGGTGCTAGGGTGTACGAGATCGAGCGGCGCGTGGAGACGCCTACGATGTTCCGGTACCCGCTGTTCGAGGCCATGCACTGGTACGCCGGCGCACATCTTCTCACCATGCTGCGGCGGCACAATGAGGAGACACAGGTAACCTTGCATCTCATCTCATCTCATCTCATCTCAAATCAAATCATTTATTTGTTTTGCTAATTCATATAGTACTGTCCCAGAAGCCAACTGTACCTACCTATTCCTTATCTATACCACAGATAATATAATATTACATATTAATACATATAAATAAAATTGAAGTGTTTGTTTGTAATTTTGAAATAACGGTTTTTTACTACATGCATATGAATATAAAAAAACACCAAAATAACATTTTTTACAATTTTTGGTTGACACTGTCTGTCTGTTTGTTCCGGCTCATCTCTGAAATGGCTGGACCGATTTTGATGGGACTTTTTTTGGCAGGTGATCTAATAAGGAGTAACTTAAGCTACTTTTATTTTAGAAAAATAAAGTTAAATTCTACGCGGACAAAGTCGCGGGAATGGCTAGTAATAAATATAATGTCCAGTATATTAACCCTGCAAATTTTTATATATTCTTGTTATATGTAGAATCCAAACTATAATAACGATAAAATTACTAATGATGCCACCCTGTTTTGTTTTCAGGATGAAGATTTTACGCTAAGCGAGAGTGTGATACAGCCAGCGCCGTTACAGATTCCACCGTTGTTATTGCGCGGAGTGAAATTGTTAGCAAATGCATTAAAGGAGTGGCATGCGTTAAAAAGCGTGAGTAATAAACTTTATTGTTATACACACGAGGAAAGTTATATTTATATATATACTAGCTGTCCCAGCAAACGTTGTTTTGCCTTAATATAAAAAAAAAATTAGAGGTGGACTATCTTTAACATTTAGGGGGATGAAAAATAGATGTTCGCCGATTCTCAGACCTACTCAATACACTCACAAAATTGAACACACATGAGAATCGGTCAAGGCGTTTGGAGGACTATGAGAACGAAAACTGTGACACGAGAATTTTATATATAAGATTTCAGGCTATTAGGCCCATATAATTAATAATCTCAGGACAATTCACACAGCGCCATCTAGACCCAAGCTAAGCTAGCTTGTGTTATGGGTACTAGACAACTGATACATATACATAGAAAACACCCAGACCGATACAAACAATCATACCCATGAATACAAATGTTTGTGCCGTGCGAGAAATCGAACCCGCTACCATTGGTCGTAAAGCGGTGTGCTAGATTGCTAGACCACCGAGGTCGTCGGATAAATGCCTTATAGACTAATATACATATGAAATAATATTGTATAATATTAATAATTGTTGGTACTTTACATTGTAAAACAAAATTTGTATGTATGTATGTAATGATTTTGATTATTTACTAAACATGAAATACACCATAATATTTCACTAATGAAAAAAATTCATAATTCCACTAATGAGAAAGAACATGTTTTAGGTACTCTAAGTCTCAGTGTACTCTAAAACATGTTTTTTTTTAACAAACAAAAAAGTATAAAATGAAAGAAATATCTATAATCCTATTTGTATTAAGGGACAAAAGTATCAAAAAAAAAAAGTATCAAAAAGAAAAAGGTTTTTTACATTATGATACATGCATGTACATAGAAATTTGTACCCTGCGTTCTCATAAAATACGTGTCATTTTCAGACGGACACGGCGAAACGCGACAACGTACCCAAATGTCTGAACTCAGGGCAGCTGGTCCGTGAACTGTGCAAGGAGCTCCGCACATTGGAAAAGAGATCTCTTAGCGCCGCTAATAAAGATAAAGTAAGACTTATTACAAGTGTGTAAGATTGAAAATACACTACGAATTTATTATAGTCTTTGTTACACATTAGTTTTATAATTTGGGTTGTTATTATATATAAAATCCATGTTTGGTTGCTGAAGTTTCGGTAGAAGGTATAGTTTAAGGGAGAGCACAATAGATCTATGTAGGTCACAGTGCTTCAGGTCTTAACTCCTGACAATACCCCAAAACCCTCAATAAAAAAAAATTGGTAGCCGATCAACCCTCCACCAACCCATGGCCATTCCAACCTCTCGGTTATACTAGCCGAATCTACGGGGAATGCGCGCTGAAAAACTCCTGTCCCCTCTGTCGCACTCTCCCCCTTCTGGGGCAGCGGATGAAACGTCGACAGCTTCGGTGCCGGGCAGCTCTCCGTCTTCAGCGGTGTCCTTCCTTCTTGAACGCGTACCACCAGCAGTCCTCTCGTACTCGCTCCGCCTCCGGTGCCACTAATGCGCGAACTCCCGCAGCCTCCTAGGTAGCTGATCAGTCGACACTAGACTTCAGAGCTATATGAACTCTATGCAATGGATAATGATGCCTCGTTCAGATGCGAAACACGTGTCGCAATATGGCTGTTTACAGTCATATTATAACGGTCGGAATTTGATCATCAAATTTAATATATAGTAAAATAATAATACATAGAATGCCTATAGCGTTAAGTCCGCCTTTTGAACTATCATTTATTAGTGAATAAAAAAATTACAGGATGTCAAAGTGAAGAATCACACATCACCGAAGAAATCTCACTCGAATAAGCAACAGAGTTCATCAAAAAAATCACTCAAACTCACACTTCCCAAACCTATAATGCATATGGCGCATAATGGAGAGTTCCCTGATGATAAAGTGTACCCAGAGAAATTCGATGTATACAACGACAGTAGGTTTGTCCCGCAAGATGTTAAGTACACAAATGGCTTGCCCGAGAAGTATGTGGTTGAAGGGAAAGAGGTGGTGTTGACAGAGAAATTCCAGTTTCAAAACTACGGGGAGCAAGGTTATCAAGATGCAAACGGTTATGTTGAGAGGCAAGATAAAAAGAATATTCTGAAGATCAAGTTAAAGTGAGTAATTACTTATAATAATATAATATTTTTTCCTCAAGTTGGAGTACATTTTGTGGTTTATAAAATGTTTGTCTCTGAAACAGCTTGACCGATTTAGACGTAACTTGGTATTTTCGGTATAAAATGGTATTTTTATTTTATATTATGGCATTTTTAAAATAATTTATTGGTATAGGACATTTTAGCTGCTTATGAACGTAACTTTTTTTTTGTTCATATTATTTCCCTACCTATTTTTTTTTTGTTAATATTGTAAGTTCACTATAAAGATTAAATTGAGAACTGGTAAGAAACTCATCTGATTTTTTTTTTAAAAGACTACACTGTGTATTATCTAGGACTATGTCTTACATTAAATAAAAAACCCGTGCATGTGAAAGTATTGCCATGGACGTTTGTCATTTACTTAAAATTCATATGGTGTTATACTATTACTACTAGGTACTAGACATCTGATATAAATACTTAAATACATTTTTTTATACAACCATTATATACACAGAAAACTCCCAGACTGATACCAACAATCATACTCATGAATGTTTGTACCGTGCGAGGAATCGAAACCTCTACCGCTATCACAAGCCAAGCCACGCTAACAATTCTCCCATTATGAGAGCATTGCAATTATTAAATTTATTTTTAGGTAAGATCCAAGATGCTGACGTATACACAGAAGCCTTGCCTTCCATAATAAATAAAATAAGAATATTTTTATCATTGTATAGTTTAAGTAGTAAAATAGTTTTAAAATATAAACGTGTTGGCAATTAGCTGTAAGTTTATATTCTTCATTAAATAAATAAATAAAATAAAATAAATAAATAAATCACTTCATCGGAAGCGGTGTGCTAGACCGCTAGACCACTGAGACCGTAATTTTTTTTTATTTGTGGTTCTGATTATAAGAAGAAACATTTTGTTGCAGTAATTCCCCCTCATCATCACGAGAAGAGCCTCCACCTTACAGTGTGCCCGAGCATTCCATCCTCAAATCCCACCTCATCAGGGCTGACCGGCCCACTCTGAAACCCATCCATCAATGGACAATATCCAAGAAGGATATCGGTGATTACCATGAGGAGCAGATATTGTTCACAAACGAAAATCTACAGGCCAATATGAGGATAGAAGGACAGGAGTTGAATTATGGACCTGGTGAGTTGTTTTCTGCATGATTGTAATTGGAATGGGCCACCCCCATGACCCCCCTGGATCAGCCGTTGATCTCAATGTAGAAAGGGTAGAGGATTGTTGGATTGGATGATAATGGAATGATGCACCCACGGTTCGCAGGTGGAGCACTACTGGAGTATGTTAAAATGATCATGACGTCAGGTCATTTAGCCCATCTAGGCAAATGGTAATTTACCACAATGGTTTCCAGGGGGCATGGAGGATAATCTAATGATTGCTAATAATGAGGTTATTAGTTCACATTACTAACAATACACTTTTTCTCGGTAGAAATAAATGTGTCTCCAACAGGTATGTATTCAGCAGAGGATGTGCAGCAAGACTATCAGTATTCAGAAGCAGCGAAGCCTGGTTCGTACCAACCCGACTACGGGTACCAACCAGCAGACGTCTCCTACGTAGACTCCTATCAGCGGTATGAAGAGGCCCAACTACCGCAGACCGTACATCAGGTATGGAATTAAAAAAATAAATATAGCTTTATTCATGTAAGTCTATTATTACAGACTGTTATAATATGTCAAATATATCGTGAGTTTGGAATGATTTCCAGGTGAGAAGAAATGACAAGAAACTCAGCTTATATTCTTTTCAAATAAATGTACATGTTTACAATAATACATATTAATTTTAAATTCAAATTTGGGACAATAGAGTGAGATAGTTTCGTATACCTTACTATATTCTTCGCTGTTCTGTAAGACCCTGCTTAACGCGGGAGATACGTTCTAATAAGTTCCAGTGCTACACGAAACTGTAACTAATAGGTTTAGGGGAAGATGAGTAGAAAATTCGTCAAGTACTAAATTTAACAAACACAAATTCGACGAATCCCCGGGTAGAAATAAATTGCTTCTAGCTATATTATACGCCTTTTGTTATTAATTTTCTATTTAATATTTTTCTTATTGTATATCTTCTGTGCACAATAAAAAGTTTATTATGATTATTATTAGCGAAATCTCTCTATGATCTTCTAAAAGATCTCTGTCTGTCTAGAATTACAGTAAGTTCTATACTAGAATGTGTATCTAAAGCTGCACAGGCAGGCTCTTACCAGACTTGCCTGGGCAGGGAGAACACGAAACACGAGCGGTGAAGGTGAGTGTTAAGGTACGTCGGCAAGATGCCCTTTACACCTACACTCAGGTCACAAGTGCCAGGAACTGCTCGGAGTTTCCTTCTCTGTCATACGTTGAATCCGACATCCGTACGGTGAATCTAGGGAATGCTAAAATGTTGCGTCTTTTTACAGCAGACGGCAAGTTATAGCAATGTGCCTGTCCAAGATATGAACGGCAGTTATCACAACCAGCTGCCGTCGTACGACGCCGCCATTGCTCAGCAGTACGCCAACAATAATTATGTGAGTAGTTCTTTTTAAGTAAAAAAGTATTGTATTAGATTAAGCAAGAAAAAGTGTATGTAAATGTACTCAAAGAGAACGAGACACAGCGCGCGTACCGTCTGCTCGCGCAATTTTGTGAACTATAATACTTTTTTGCAGATAGCGCATTATTGTTTTTTTTATACATCATGCCATCTTCTTCAAGTCTTCCAGACTATAAATAGATTTATACTGTTTTAAATTTGACGCGGTCATTATTTATACGTATAACTAGCTGTTCCCGCGACTTAAAACTTAAACTAAACTTTTTCTAAAATAAAAGTGGCCTAAGTTACTCCATATTACATCAGCTACCTGCCAATAAAAGTCCCGCCTTTTCTGAGCGTAAAAGTTATGTGGACTAATTTTGAGGCGATAAATTAATTTTACATTGCCTTAACCATAGACCAATCTTTGTGAGAGCGTTTTATAACAGTTTTGTAGCTTCCACTTGATTCTTACTATAAGCTAAGATAACCCTATCATCTGCTAAAGTGGCTACGGTTGTTCCTGCTTTTCTGGAAGATCTGATGTGAAGATACTATATAGTAGTGGGCCAAGTACAAAGCCTTGTGGCACCCCAGCCATAATTTCGTAAAATGCAGTGGTGTACGCATTCTTCTTTACTTGGAAAATCCTTTCTCTAAGATAAGACTTAACCTATATGGAGTATATGGGAGGAGGTTCTTGATTTTGTAGAGTAAGCCTTCATGCCAGACTTAATCTAATGCTTGCTGTACGTCTACAAATGCTACGGTGCAATACTCTTTACGCTCAAACGCATCTCGAACAACCTTACACACTCTATGAACTTGCTCTATTGTTTCTTTCTGAAACCAAATTGGTGGTCAGGAATTACCAATTTTTTAGAGAGACTTTGTGCCAAACGTTCTAGGAATACCTTCTCGAAAAGTTTTGACACCACAGGTAAAAGGCTAATTGGTCGATAGGATGTGATGTCATAGGGTGGTGATTTACCCAATTTAGTTATCATGACAAGTTGAGAGACTTACCATAGAGCCGGGTAGTGTCCAATTGTCATAATTATAAAGGAGAATACCTTACTACACTGTTGAATAGTGTAGTAAGGTATTCTCCTTTGCGTGGTAGTTCTTTAAGTACGTACTTGTGAATCAGGTCATAACCTGGTGCTTTTTGTCTTTCATTTTTTGAATTAGTATTCCTATTTCTTGCGGTGTCGTTAGTTTTAGCGGAAGGTCAGTTTGCTATTCCTGATGTAGAGTCTCATTTACTATTCCTTATTTGACAAGGTTTTTGTCTTCAATAGGTTTGAATACTAAGGCAACATGGTTGGCAAATGCAAATGCTTTTTATTGTGGAGTTTTAGATGATTTATTATTTGACAAATGAATTGGAGGGTTTGAATCCAGTCGGAGTTTGATGTACTCTGCCTGCTTTCTAAAAGGAGTAAATCAACTGCAAAGTGAGAGACTCACTTTGAGCTCTATAGCTGCGTCTTCCGCATCTCGAATCGCATCATTTATAGCGCGTATATTTTATATTATAAGTATGTCTTTGTTTCGTAGTCAGATGTCATAAACACGTACGATCGAAGGACGCGCGTTGTTTCTCATTCCCTTATCTGCATTTATATGCCAATTTTTTCTTGCGTGAATGACGATTCACGCCCGCTAAAGAACCTATGAGTAACAGGCAGTTAATAGGGATATACTGCACTTTACGAAGAGATCAAATTAAATTCGGAGATAGGTTATGTTCGCTCGTTTGTTAATAATCGGGAAGTCATAATCCGTAGCCATTATCCACGCGCTGTAACCGCAGGTAATAGAAGAGCAGAAGCCGGCGGCGGAGCCCCCGTCGAGTGGCGCCGCAGGTGCGGGGGCCGCGGCCGGCGTGCGGCGCTCCGAGAGACCGGCGCGGCGCCGCGTGTCGGCCACCTACGACTACGAGGACGGCGACCTGTACATCGACGACGCGCCGCCGCCGCGCCGCCGCCGCCCGCCGCGCGCGCCGCGCCGCCCGCACGTGCCCCACGCCGCCGGTGAGTGTAGCTAGTGTCTAGTGTCTAGTGTCTAGTGTCGGCCACCTACGACTACGAGGACGGCGACCTGTACATCGACGACGCGCCGCCGCCGCGCCGCCGCCGCCCGCCGCGCGCGCCGCGCCGCCCGCACGTGCCCCACGCCGCCGGTGAGTGTAGCTAGTGTCTAGTGTCTAGTGTCTAGTGTCGGCCACCTACGACTACGAGGACGGCGACCTGTACATCGACGACGCGCCGCCGCCGCGCCGCCGCCGCCCGCCGCGCGCGCCGCGCCGCCCGCACGTGCCCCACGCCGCCGGTGAGTGTAGCTAGTGTCTAGTGTCTAGTGTCTAGTGTCGGCCACCTACGACTACGAGGACGGCGACCTGTACATCGACGACGCGCCGCCGCCGCGCCGCCGCCGCCCGCCGCGCGCGCCGCGCCGCCCGCACGTGCCCCACGCCGCCGGTGAGTGTAGCTAGTGTCTAGTGTCTAGTGTCTAGTGTCGGCCACCTACGACTACGAGGACGGCGACCTGTACATCGACGACGCGCCGCCGCCGCGCCGCGCGCGCCCGCCGCGCGCGCCGCCGCCGCCCGCACGTGCCCCACGCGCGCCGGTGAGTGTAGTGTAGTGTCTAGTGTCTAGTGTCTAGTGTCTAGTGTCGGCCACCTACGACTACGAGGACGGCGACCTGTACATCGACGACGCGCCGCCGCCGCCGCCGCGCGCGCGCGCGCCGCGCGCCCGCACGTGACCCACGCCGCCGGTGAGTGTAGCTAGTGTCTAGTGTCTAGTGTCTAGTGTCGGCCACCTACGACTACGAGGACGGCGACCTGTACATCGACGACGCGCCGCCGCCGCGCCGCCGCCGCCCGCCGCGCGCGCCGCGCCGCCCGCACGTGCCCCACGCCGCCGGTGAGTGTAGCTAGTGTCTAGTGTCTAGTGTCTAGTGTCGGCCACCTACGACTACGAGGACGGCGACCTGTACATCGACGACGCGCCGCCGCCGCGCCGCCGCCGCCCGCCGCGCGCGCCGCGCCGCCCGCACGTGACCCACGCCGCCGGTGAGTGTAGCTAGTGTCTAGTGTCTAGTGTCTAGTGTCGGCCACCTACGACTACGAGGACGGCGACCTGTACATCGACGACGCGCCGCCGCCGCCCCCCCGCCCCCCCCCGCGCGCGCCGCGCCCCCGCACGTGACCCACGCCGCCGGTGAGTGTAGCTAGTGTCTAGTGTCTAGTGTCTAGTGTCGGCCACCTACGACTACGAGGACGGCGACCTGTACATCGACGACGCGCCGCCGCCGCGCCGCCGCCGCCCGCCGCGCGCGCCGCGCCGCCCGCACGTGCCCCACGCCGCCGGTGAGTGTAGCTAGTGTCTAGTGTCTAGTGTCTAGTGTCGGCCACCTACGACTACGAGGACGGCGACCTGTACATCGACGACGCGCCGCCGCCGCCCGCCGCGCGCGCCGCGCCGCCCGCACGTGACCCACGCCGCCGGTGAGTGTAGCTAGTGTCTAGTGTCTAGTGTCTAGTGTCTAGTGTCGGCCACCTACGACTACGAGGACGGCGACCTGTACATCGACGACGCGCCGCCGCCGCGCCGCCGCGCGCGCCGCGCCGCCCCGCACGTGACCCACGCCGCCGGTGAGTGTAGCTAGTGTCTAGTGTCTAGTGTCTAGTGTCTAGTGTCGGCCACCTACGACTACGAGGACGGCGACCTGTACATCGACGACGCGCCGCCGCCGCCCGCCGCGCGCGCCGCGCCGCCCGCACGTGACCCACGCCGCCGGTGAGTGTAGCTAGTGTCTAGTGTCTAGTGTCTAGTGTCGGCCACCTACGACTACGAGGACGGCGACCTGTACATCGACGACGCGCCGCCGCCGCCCGCCGCGCGCGCCGCGCCGCCCGCACGTGACCCACGCCGCCGGTGAGTGTAGCTAGTGTCTAGTGTCTAGTGTCTAGTGTCGGCCACCTACGACTACGAGGACGGCGACCTGTACATCGACGACGCGCCGCCGCCGCGCCGCCCCCGCCCGCCGCGCGCGCCGCGCCGCCCGCACGTGCCCCACGCCGCCGGTGAGTGTAGCTGAGTGTAGCTAGTGTCTAGTGTCTAGTGTCTAGTGTCGGCCACCTACGACTACGAGGACGGCGACCTGTACATCGACGACGCGCCGCCGCCGCGCCCGCGCGCGCGCGCCGCGCCGCCCGCACGTGACCCACGCCGCCGGTGAGTGTAGCTAGTGTCTAGTGTCTAGTGTCTAGTGTCTAGTGTCGGCCACCTACGACTACGAGGACGGCGACCTGTACATCGACGACGCGCCGCCGCCGCGCCGCCGCCGCCCGCCGCGCGCGCCGCGCCGCCCGCACGTGACCCACGCCGCCGGTGAGTGTAGCTAGTGTCTAGTGTCTAGTGTCTAGTGTCGGCCACCTACGACTACGAGGACGGCGACCTGTACATCGACGACGCGCCGCCGCAGCCCGCCCCGCACACACGCTCCGCCCGCACGTGACCCACGCCGCCGGTGAGTGTAGCTAGTGTCTAGTGTCTAGTGTCTAGTGTCGGCCACCTACGACTACGAGGACGGCGACCTGTACATCGACGACGCGCCGCCGCCGCCCGCCGCGCGCGCCGCGCCGCCCGCACGTGACCCACGCCGCCGGTGAGTGTAGCTAGTGTCTAGTGTCTAGTGTCTAGTGTCTAGTGTCGGCCACCTACGACTACGAGGACGGCGACCTGTACATCGACGACGCGCCGCCGCCGCGCCGCCGCCGCCCGCCGCGCGCGCCGCGCCGCCCGCACGTGACCCACGCCGCCGGTGAGTGTAGCTAGTGTCTAGTGTCTAGTGTCTAGTGTCGGCCACCTACGACTACGAGGACGGCGACCTGTACATCGACGACGCGCCGCCGCCGCCCGCCGCGCGCGCGCGCCGCGCCGCCCGCACGTGACCCACGCCGCCGGTGAGTGTAGCGAGTGTCTAGTGTCTAGTGTCTAGTGTCTAGTGTCGGCCACCTACGACTACGAGGACGGCGACCTGTACATCGACGACGCGCCGCCGCCGCGCCGCCGCCGCCCGCCGCGCGCGCCGCGCCGCCCGCACGTGCCCCACGCCGCCGGTGAGTGTAGCTAGTGTCTAGTGTCTAGTGTCTAGTGTCGGCCACCTACGACTACGAGGACGGCGACCTGTACATCGACGACGCGCCGCCGCCGCCCGCCGCGCGCGCCGCGCCGCCCGCACGTGACCCACGCCGCCGGTGAGTGTAGCTAGTGTCTAGTGTCTAGTGTCTAGTGTCTAGTGTCGGCCACCTACGACTACGAGGACGGCGACCTGTACATCGACGACGCGCCGCCGCCGCGCGCGCGCCGCCGCCCGCCGCGCGCGCCTAGCGCCGACTACGAGGACGCACGACGCGCCGCCGCCGCGCCGCCTCCGCCCGCCGCGCGCGCCGAGCCGCCCTCAGGTGCCGCACGCCGCCGTTGAGTGTCTAGTGTCTAGTGTCTAGTGTCTAGTGTCGGCCACCTACGACTACGAGGACGGCGACCTGTACATCGACGACGCGCCGCCGCCGCCCGCCGCGCGCGCCGCGCGCGCCGCGCCGCCCGCACGTGCCCCACGCCGCCGGTGAGTGTAGCTAGTGTCTAGTGTCTAGTGTCTAGTGTCGGCCACCTACGACTACGAGGACGGCGACCTGTACATCGACGACGCGCCGCCGCCGCGCCGCCGCCGCCCGCACGTGACCCACGCCGCCGGTGAGTGTAGCTAGTGTCTAGTGTCTAGTGTCTAGTGTCGGCCACCTACGACTACGAGGACGGCGACCTGTACATCGACGACGCGCCGCCGCCGCGCCGCCGCCGCCCGCCGCGCGCGCCGCGCCGCCCGCACGTGACCCACGCCGCCGGTGAGTGTAGCTAGTGTCTAGTGTCTAGTGTCTAGTGTCTAGTGTCGGCCACCTACGACTACGAGGACGGCGACCTGTACATCGACGACGCGCCGCCCGCACGTGCCCCACGCCGCCGGTGAGTGTAGCTAGTGTCTAGTGTCTAGTGTCTAGTGTCTAGTGTCTAGTGTCGGCCACCTACGACTACGAGGACGGCGACCTGTACATCGACGACGCGCCGCCGCCGCGCCGCCGCCGCCCGCCGCGCGCGCCGCGCCGCCCGCACGTGACCCACGCCGCCGGTGAGTGTAGCTAGTGTCTAGTGTCTAGTGTCTAGTGTCGGCCACCTACGACTACGAGGACGGCGACCTGTACATCGACGACGCGCCGCCGCCGCCCCGCCGCGCGCGCGCGCGCCGCCCGCACGTGACCCACGCCGCCGGTGAGTGTAGCTAGTGTCTAGTGTCTAGTGTCTAGTGTCGGCCACCTACGACTACGAGGACGGCGACCTGTACATCGACGACGCGCCGCCGCCGCGCCGCCGCCGCCCGCCGCGCGCGCCGCGCCGCCCGCACGTGCCCCACGCCGCCGGTGAGTGTAGCTAGTGTCTAGTGTCTAGTGTCTAGTGTCTAGTGTCGGCCACCTACGACTACGAGGACGGCGACCTGTACATCGACGACGCGCCGCCGCCGCGCCGCCGGCGCCCGCCGCGCGCGCCGCGCCGCCCGCACGTGCCCCACGCCGCCGGTGTGTGTAGCTAGTGTCTAGTGTCTAGTGTCTAGTGTCGGCCACCTACGACTACGAGGACGGCGACCTGTACATCGACGACGCGCCGCCGCCGCGCCGCCGCCGCCCGCCGCGCGCGCCGCGCCGCCCGCACGTGACCCACGCCGCCGGTGAGTGTAGCTAGTGTCTAGTGTCTAGTGTCTAGTGTCGGCCACCTACGACTACGAGGACGGCGACCTGTACATCGACGACGCGCCGCCGCCGCCCGCCGCGCGCGCCGCGCGCGCCGCGCCGCCCGCACGTGACCCACGCCGCCGGTGAGTGTAGCTAGTGTCTAGTGTCTAGTGTCTAGTGTCGGCCACCTACGACTACCAGGACGGCGACCTGTACATCGACGGTGCGACTCGTGCGTGCGTGCGTGCGTGCGTATTTGCGTGCATACGTGCGTGAGTGCGTGTTCATACATATCGCGTTGTAGTAATTGAACAGCGCCATCTAGTGACAACGACATAAAACTAAATTTACAAAAGAAGATTAAACAGGTTGTTTGTTTGTCATTCCATATACATAAATCTAGTTATCTTTCTTACAGCAACACCGAACAGTTACCGCAGTACACCCGGCGCGAGTAGTGCAGCGGCGACTCGGGCGCCGGCCAACGGGATCGAGTCCCTCATACAAGCGTCCGTGCTCGCCGAGGAAGACCCTCCTAGCGCTACGTATGTTTACGTTTAATTATTTTAAAAAAAATACTGATTTTACTAATGAACAGAAGTGTTCAAAATCTACCCTATACCATCGTAAGCACAGATTATTATATTAGAGTCCGTTAGTTTTCTGTTCCCGCGTCTTTCCTTCCCCTCCCTTAACTAGTAACAAACGGACTGTACAGCGGCCTTGACGCGCGCGCGCATTGTGTTGTGAATTAAAATAAATTAGAACTGTGTTAACCTACTGTGAAGCTGGAAAGCTAGCGAAGATACCTTCGAGACCCTGAAGCCCAAGAAATCCGCAGAACCATAAAGGTAAATGACTGACGCTTCCCTAACATTTTGGTAGCAGAGTAGTTTCCCAAACAGAAGCATAGAAATAAACTGGTCACCCAACTGCAGGGATCGGGGAATCTGCTTGTAGGGACTGGTCTTAGGTTACGAACACAATTTCAAATTCAAAAATTATTTATTCATGTAGGACATTTTAGTCGTTTATGAACGTCAAATTTTTTACATTATAATTTTAATTTTTTCGCTATCATTGATTATATTTTTCGTTTCATGCAATAGCATATGCTGGTGGTCACTCTATTCTCCCAAATTTGAATTGAAATGATTCTGTATTATTGTAAACATGTACAACATTTATTTGAAAGGAATACGAGCTGAGTTTCTTGTCAGTTCTCATATCGAAATCATTCCGAACTGACGGTAGATTTGACAGATGAGTCTGTAATAGACCTATATGAATAAAGATATTTTGAACTTGAATAAGAATCTCTCGAATTAAAAGACTTGATATCCAGGGATTAGTGGAAAGATTAGCAAACTCTTCATAGCTTTACGTATGAAAAGAAATAAAATCTATTTAAGAAAAGTTGCCATCCGATTGGACTATTGCATAAAACAGATTGGCAATTAATATTATTTACCTACCGTTCAGTCAACTGGACGGGTGTGTATACTGAAAGTATAGATATCCGATTGAAAAGAAAAAGAAACTCCACTGGCTTTATTGATTTTTTTAAAAAGCCAGTTGAATCACTTTGTATACTTATATAGGTGTCTATGTCTAACATTAGATAAAAATCCCGTGCATAAACAGTTCATAATCTGCATCTTCCTTATAATAATTAATAAACATACACAACAAAACATACACACAATAAATTAGTGCTGGTTGGTAGTTTGTATTCACATGTTTCGACTTGTAAAATGTGAACTTACAAGGATTGTTTAAAAGAGCAACACACAAATTTCTTGCTTATTCTTCTTGTGATGAGACAGCTTTCCGAATAAGCGGTAGATTTAAAAAAATGTTGACTATTCAAAAGTGCTTCAATTAGGTTTATTTGAATAAATGATTTTCTATTCTATTCTATTCTACAACACAACATATCACACATACTATAACCTTATGATATTAAACATTTTTTATATATAGTTAGCACCATTGTACATACCATATTCTGACAAATAAATATATTATTATTATAATAAATATAATAATTATAATAAATAAAAATAAATAAGTATATATATTACTATCCCATTTATTTGTGGTCGGCGTTGTATGTTTTTCTCTTCCATTCATCTCTGTTCGCAGTCATTTCGTTATTTACTCCCTTTCTTATCATATCATCTTTCACACAGTCCATCCATCTCTTTTTCGGTCTTCCTCTGCCCTTATAACCATCCACATTTATATGTAACACCTTACTTAAGATATGATCTTCATTCATACGTGCAAAACAGCTATTGTCATTTAATAAATTATAACTATGTTCATTCCCCAATCACCAATTCCCAAATGGCCAGAAAAAAGAAATGGAATCGCAGTTTCAAGAAGGGTATATTAAGGTTTCTTAAGGGTCGGCAACGCGTATGTGACACCCTGGTGTTTCAGGCGTCCATAGGCTACTGTAACCGTTTGCCATCAGATGGGCCGTATGCTTGTTTGCCACCTAAGTGGTATAAAAAAAAAACATTACTAACAATTCCCTTCTGATGATGATGATGATGTTGCAGTGAGGATGCCGCTGTAGCTGGTATGCTCAGCATCAGTGAACGGTACACCGCTCCGCAGCGGACCTTCGGCCTCGCAGCAGAAACACACCAGACCAACAGCACGCCTGACAGGTATAGTATAATAATAATCTCAGAACAATTCACACAGCGGATTTTTTATGGATGACTAGCTTGTTCCCGCGGCTTGGTTCGCATTGAATCCATTAAATAAGTATCGGAGGTCATTGTAATAGATGACTTTATTACTGGCTGCTAGATGGCGCTGAAGTAGCAAAATTTGTTTTTTTTTTTAATAAAAATTATACTATCTTCATTCTAATAGCTCTAAGAACATGTGTACAAAATGTCATGATGATAGGTTCAGTAGTTTTTGCGTGAAAGCGTAACACCCTACTTCCACACTTATAATATTTTTAAAGGTAATTGAAATATGCGCCCGCTTGCGCTAACTTTACTCTAGCTTTAAGATAATAAAATGACTATGAAATCAGGCCGTTATCTGACTTGACTTCTTGACCTAACATCTTGGGAAATACCAAGTTACTACGATACGATGGTTTCTAGGGACCACCGCGTAGAGGTCAACCTGATATGGTATGTATGGGACACAGTCACCTAGATACATCAAAATAATAATTGCATTTAATAATGTCTAGTAAGACAAATTCAATATTGTCTACTAGGCACTACTGTATCTAAACTGTGTCACCCCACCTTACATTTTCCTACTTTTATTTAGTATATAAGATCATTATTTCTATGTACACATTGTCAGTTTATCATCATCAGTAATATACATCGTCTCGACCAGCAACATCGTATTATTCACCCGCAACAGTATGTATTCTTTTCTCACGATATTCACACAGCGCCATCTAGACCCAAGAAGTTAGCTAAAGCTTGTGTTATGGGTACTAGATAACTGATACAAATACTAAGAAATTTTTATTCCTAAATATATACATATTATACATAGGAAACACTCAGACTGATACAAACAATCATACTCATAAATACAAAGTTTCGGTCCGTGTAAACGAACCCGCGACCATCGGAAGTAAAGCGGTGTGCTAACCCGCTAGACCACTGAGGCTGTCATAGCTCATAGTATATACGATTAGACAAAAAAACTTTTGCTTAACCAGAATTAGACTAAAAAGACGTGCAGATGGCACTCCAAACACGCGGAAGGACTTATGAATTGGTTTGTAGGCCAACTCTTGCCTGACGGGTTTTTTTTATTTTATTGGGGGGTTTGGGACATTGTCAGGTGCTTGAGCCTGTAGCACTTCGACTTACATTTTCAGAGGTCGCTACTTAGACTCGTTCATCATCATCTGCTTCTTCCTTATCCCATTTATTTAGGGTCGGCGTAATATGTTTTTCGCTTCCATTCATCCCTGTTCGCAGTCATCGCGTTATTTACTTCCTTTCTTACCATATCATCTTTCACACAGTCCATCCATCTCTTTTTCAGCCTCTGCCCTTATAACCATCCACATTAATTTGTAACACCTTTCTTAAAATATTATCCTCGTTCCTACGCATTACATGTCCATACCATGATAGACGATTACTCTTCAACCTCTCTGACACCGGTGCCACTTTCATACTTTCTCTACTTAGACCCGTTAGGGACAAGAATTGAAGGATATTCTTAAGAGCGATGGTTTTTGTCTCCTCAGGATAGAGTGTTGCCTGACGGATACTACTTTAGTTTGATGGCACCGCTAGGTTTCAAACATCAGTCAGTTTGGAGTGCTTTCGAGCTAAGAACTGAAAAGAAACTCAGCTCTTATTCTATTCATATGAGTTTGTAAATTAGAGAAATTTAGATTTATTTTTAAATACAAACATGTAGGCTACCTACCTATATTGTATGAATGTCAAATAGATTCGCTTGCAAATTTCTGATTTAAAAAGTTGTTACATTAATTATTATTTGTAGTTTTAATTTTGATATTATATACACTGTCATTTATTAAATATTTTATTAATATCACTCCTTCTGTATCAACACTCCAACCAAACCCCAATCATAAGACAAGGAAGGTGTGGGAAGATATTTGTTTGTAATAAGTCTTGTACTTGTCAGTAGTGGCAGTTGCAGTGGCACGGGAAGGTCTCGATCTCGGAAGGCAGCCGCGAGTAGTGCCGACGAGGACTTTGCTGATGAGGACGTCATCAAGGAGGTCCACAGGGACGAGGAGTATGGTCAGTACATTCTACATTGTTACCCGACATGTGGCCCTACTCGGGGGCAATTTGATTGTTGAAAGGGGCAATACGAAAATGCCAGTTCTTCTCAATTGAATGTGTATACTTAACTGGAGGGTAGTGAAAAAATTATAATACAAAAAAATTAAGTTCATAAGCCGCTAAAATGTCCTACATGAATAAATGATGTTTTAATTTGAATTTGAATGTATTCGACACGTGTCGAGTCGAGAAGATGTCGGTGCCTATTTTAATATGATTGTATGTATATGTATTAAATTTCACCCTGTCATTATTTATACGTATAATTAGTAAAAATCACAGGATCATACCATGTTTTATTTTTTTATCGAGTTCCCGATATTTCGGCAGTGTTTCAAACGCCATGATCACGGGTAAACTGTAATATATGTGATTCTCTTTATGGTAAAGACTAGCTTTTGCCCGCGGCTTCGATCGCGTTAATTATCCCCTTAGGGGTGGAATTTATTAAAATCCTTAGGGGATGCCTACGTTATAGTAGATTTATGCATGCAAAGTCTCAGCCCGATCGGTTTAAAATTGACAAAGTTTCATACAAACTTTCATCCTCTATTTTATCCCCTTGGTGGTAGAATTAATCAAAATCCTTTCTTAGCGGATGCCTACGTCATAATATCTGCAGGTAGATGTTATGACGTAGGCATTGCATGCCAAATTTCAGCCCGATCCGTCTAGTGGTTTGGGCCGTGCGTTGATAGATCACTAGGTCAGTTACCTTTGAGTTATATATATTTAGATTACGGTTAACATTTGCTATCAGATGTATGGTCAACTCGTGTGTCTATTTGTCTATATTATTACTTAATATTACATACATGTCAGTAATTTACTAATTATTATTGGAATGGAGTATAGTGTAATGTGTTCCTTATACAGTGTACCCGTCACTGGAGGCGTCGTCAGACGAAGAGGACGAGTGGCCGCAGCGGCGTCGGTCCCGCCTCCCACAGCCCGCCAGAGACAAGTCAGTACTCCGACATTACTACTACCGCCGTATTAATAAGTAAACGTGGATTTATATTTGTCACACGTGATGTTACATGACGAGTCAGAAACAGTATGTAGTTAGTATATTTTGTATGGTAACGTTCATACTAGTAATGCGTAACGTGTTGTAATGGCATCTGTCTCGTCAGAAACTATACCGGATGCGTCAGAGCGAAAGGGTCTTAAGTACTATTAAAAATTAATTCTAACTGACGTTATTAACCTAAAACTAAAAACTTTAAAAAATATTATGTAATAACCGAAATAATAGTTCATATTAGATACTAAATTAGTATAATCTTTCACATGTATATAGATGTAATAATGGTTTGTGTGTTCCGCAGGGACGAGTCGTGGTCTCCGCGCGCCCGGCTCGGCCGCGTGGCGCCGCGACTGCGGGGCCCCGCGCGGGCCGGGGTGCGCAGGGAGTGCGTGCGGGCCGCCCTGCACGCCGCCGCCGCCCACCCCGCGCCGCACCCCGCGCCGCACCCCGCGCCGCCCCCGCACGTGAGTACCCACCTCACTGTACACATAGGTCGCGCGCAGGGAGTGCGTGCGGGCCGCCCTGCACGCCGCCGCCGCCCACCCCGCGCCGCACCCCGCGCCGCACCCCGCGCCGCACCCCGCGCCGCCCCCGCACGTGAGTACCCACCTCACTGTACACATAGGTCGCGCGCAGGGAGTGCGTGCGGGCCGCCCTGCACGCCGCCGCCGCCCACCCCGCGCCGCACCCCGCGCCGCACCCCGCGCCGCCCCCGCACGTGAGTACCCACCTCACTGTACACATAGGTCGCGCGCAGGGAGTGCGTGCGGGCCGCCCTGCACGCCGCCGCCGCCCACCCCGCGCCGCACCCCGCGCCCGCACCCCGCGCCGCCCCCGCACGTGAGTACCCACCTCACTGTACACATAGGTCGCGCGCAGGCAGTGCGTGCGGGCCGCCCTGCACGCCGCCGCCGCCCACCCCGCGCCGCACCCCGCGCCGCACCCCGCGCCGCCCCCGCACGTGAGTACCCACCTCACTGTACACATAGGTCGCGCGCAGGGAGTGCGTGCGGGCCGCCCTGCACGCCGCCGCCGCCCACCCCGCGCCGCACCCCGCGCCGCACCCCGCGCCGCCCCCGCACGTGAGTACCCACCTCACTGTACACATAGGTCGCGCGCAGGGAGTGCGTGCGGGCCGCCCTGCACGCCGCCGCCGCCCACCCCGCGCCGCACCCCGCGCCGCACCCCGCGCCGCCCCCGCACGTGAGTACCCACCTCACTGTACACATAGGTCGCGCGCAGGGAGTGCGTGCGGGCCGCCCTGCACGCCGCCGCCGCCCACCCCGCGCCGCACCCCGCGCCGCACCCCGCGCCGCCCCCGCACGTGAGTACCCACCTCACTGTACACATAGGTCGCGCGCAGGCAGTGCGTGCGGGCCGCCCTGCACGCCGCCGCCGCCCACCCCGCGCCGCACCCCGCGCCGCACCCCGCGCCGCCCCCGCACGTGAGTACCCACCTCACTGTACACATAGGTCGCGCGCAGGGAGTGCGTGCGGGCCGCCCTGCACGCCGCCGCCGCCCACCCCGCGCCGCACCCCGCGCCGCACCCCGCGCCGCCCCCGCACGTGAGTACCCACCTCACTGTACACATAGGTCGCGCGCAGGCAGTGCGTGCGGGCCGCCCTGCACGCCGCCGCCGCCCACCCCGCGCCGCACCCCGCGCCGCACCCCGCGCCGCCCCCGCACGTGAGTACCCACCTCACTGTACACATAGGTCGCGCGCAGGCAGTGCGTGCGGGCCGCCCTGCACGCCGCCGCCGCCCACCCCGCGCCGCACCCCGCGCCGCACCCCGCGCCGCCCCCGCACGTGAGTACCCACCTCACTGTACACATAGGTCGCGCGCAGGGAGTGCGTGCGGGCCGCCCTGCACGCCGCCGCCGCCCACCCCGCGCCGCACCCCGCGCCGCACCCCGCGCCGCCCCCGCACGTGAGTACCCACCTCACTGTACACATAGGTCGCGCGCAGGCAGTGCGTGCGGGCCGCCCTGCACGCCGCCGCCGCCCACCCCGCGCCGCACCCCGCGCCGCACCCCGCGCCGCCCCCGCACGTGGAGTACCCACCTCACTGTACACATAGGTCGCGCGCAGGCAGTGCGTGCGGGCCGCCCTGCACGCCGCCGCCGCCCACCCCGCGCCGCACCCCGCGCCGCACCCCGCGCCGCCCCCGCACGTGAGTACCCACCTCACTGTACACATAGGTCGCGCGCAGGCAGTGCGTGCGGGCCGCCCTGCACGCCGCCGCCGCCCACCCCGCGCCGCACCCCGCGCCGCACCCCGCGCCGCCCCCGCACGTGAGTACCCACCTCACTGTACACATAGGTCGCGCGCAGGCAGTGCGTGCGGGCCGCCCTGCACGCCGCCGCCGCCCACCCCGCGCCGCACCCCGCGCCGCACCCCGCGCCGCCCACGCACGTGAGTACCCACCTCACTGTACACATAGGTCGCGCGCAGGGACCGCATCGACAATACTCAATAAATACGACAATACTCACCTTATTTGTATAAATATATCAATAGCTGACTTTACAGGTATACTCTTCCGGGCGCAGATAGACTTTCACACAATCAATAATTTACATGCACATTGTTTCACACAAAATGTAAACAACGAGCCAATTCGCATTTTATTCATGCATGCTTTAGCGCCTGTGTTCAATCCGGCCTACGCCCGCGACGCCAACATCAGAACTCATTTGCCTCATATGCAGAAATAGTAAAATACAAAACCTCATGATTACGCGTGCTGTCTTTCCCGCGCAAAATTTTGCGCCCTCCTGAATCTCGCTTGATAGAATATATCGTCTAAATAACATTTTAGCCACTTATATCCGGCTCGAAGGACCAATTTTTGAAAGTGTTATTATTACTTCAATATTTGCATCATTTATTTTATTAACCAGAATATAGAAGATAATAATGTGATTACTTTAGAAAAACTTTTATATTTGCACATCTTCAAGCTAAAATATGGTATTTTACAGTAATTAAGAAATTACATTAAATTGGTTTTAATTGTTTTAAAAAATTTAAATCTTCTGAATGTTAGGGAAAATACTATATGTGGAAGCGTCTGTCGCTTACACATACGCTTACACATCACACGCTCCTGATGATTTCTTGGGCTTAAACATAGGTCGACGTCTCGATGATTTTTTTGCAAGCTTTCACAGTAGGTTTCACACTCAGTTTTAATTTATTTTAATGTAGAAATCATGCGCGTGCGTTATGGCCACCGTACGGTCTGTACTGTCATAGGTAAGGGGGGAAAGCGCAGGAACAGAAACTAACGGGCTCTAAAATAAGTCTGTGCTTACAATGTGTATAGGGTATAGGGTAGAATTCAAACAGTAACGTATGAACGGTATTACGGATATTGTATTAAGTTTTTAAACTGTTTTATTTGACATTTAAAGATTTAAATGTCAAATAAAACAGTTCCTTTGCAAAAAAGCTTACTATAAAATTGAAGAATTCGTTAACGATAATAATGTTTTTATAGAAAAACTTTAAATCTATAGCACTGACAATATTATCTGATTACATTAATAATGAGTGCGTAGCGACTTCTATGTTGATTATCTCATGCCTCTTACTTGTTATACTGTAATTATTTATATAAAAAAAACATCTATTAAAAAGAGCAACACACAAATTTCTTGCTCATTCTTCTTGTGATGAATCTGCATTCCGAATGAGTGGTAGAATCAAAATATGACTATTTAAAAGTGCTTGTAATGAGTTTATTTGAATAAAGATTATTTCTATTTCTATTTCTATTGTATGATACGTGCTGTCCGTATTGCTGTTCATGTAAATAGCCGCCGGTTACAACTTACCATCAGATTGTTTGTTACCTAAAATATGCTGTTATTAAATAATAATGACATCAATTAAAACAATTGTATGTTTTACAGCAAAACGCGAAACGTGCGGTGCTGGCCACAAAGAGCAGACGGCCTCCGCCGCCTGTGCAAAATACGCCAAACAAAAGTAAGTTAACATACTTTTACTAAAGTAAACTTTGTACAAAGTCAAAGTCCTGGATTACGTATGTTGTACCTAGATCTACCGCCAAATGTGCCTTGTAAGCTGTGTTGTTCTATTGAACAGTGAGATATGGTAGTGAAAAGAAATTACAGGATACTGAGACGTAAGATCATAGATCATAGATTTATCATCTCCGGAATGACAACGCTTGAGTCACGGGCGTCGCATGATAACGTGATGACTGTGATGATGTTCATTTATATAAGTGACGGTTGCCATTTATGTATTTTTATGTTTTATTTGTAATTGTAGAATGTTTTAGATTAGTGGTGTATTACCTCTGCTTAAATTATAAAGTTCATCAGACTGAATATGAAGGATTCTTCGGTAATGGTAACACTGATAACAACCCCAATAAAGGTTCATTCATTTTTAATTTAAGATTTTTGTCGGTGGAGATCTTTTCCAAGCTCCATTTTCCATGATCTTCCGTCAATCTCTTTAGTTGTTGATACGACACGACTCCAACTTTTCCTTGATCTTGCTGTGTCTTGGTCTTCCCCTTCTCCACTTTCCTTCTATTTTTCCTTCGATAATATTATTCATAAGTACTTCGTGTCGTATCAATTGCCTCGCCAATTCTCAATGATATTTATGATTTTTATGATCTGTCTCTTACCCTTTGCAGTACTTCTTTATTTCTTATTTTGTCTTTTCAACTAATTCTTTCTCTTCTTCTCTAACACCACATTTCAAAAGCATCCAGCCTATCCTTTTTCTTTTGAATCAATCACCACGTTTCACAGGCACACAATATACTTCAGAAATAGGTCTTGATGAGTTTTTTCCGAGAGGTCTTTGATATGTTAGCCCGCAAAAGATGTTTTTTTTTATCATTAAATGCTTTTTCGCGATAGCTTCTTCTTAGCCATAATTCCATTTATTTAGGGTCCCGTCTGGTCAATCTTCGCTAGTACGGTCACAGCTGGGTGGTCTATGGTGTTATTTCAGCTTTTTTTAAACCCCTGTTTTTTTTCGTATGGATGATAATGGAATGATGCACCCGCCTGCGCTAACGGTTTACGCTGGCGGGGCACCAGTGGACGTTGATAAATTAGTATGAGGTCAGGTCAATTAGCCGTGAGATAAATTCACCAAGAATTTATCACGATGGTTTCCAGGGGGAACCACGTGGAGGTCAATCTGAGATAGTTCATTGCTAGTTATTAGTCCACATTACTAACAATTGCCGCCCCCCCCCCCCCCCCTCCTCCTTAAGCCCCTCTTATTAACAGACATCCATGTGAGACGGGGTCTTCCGCGTCTCTGTGCTAGGTTCATGTTTAGTACTGCTCTTGTCATGTGGTCTGATGGTCGCCGACATCAGACTGCTGACATGACAGTACCACCTAATGTGGCTCCAAAATTTTTAGACTATTAGAATCGAATAGAATATTTATTACATCACACATCACAACACAATGATGATGCTCACACCATATAAGTTATTAACTGTCCCTGCTGCTGTTTCATCCACATGAAATTTATAGCCTATATGTTATTCTGAAGCCTAAGCTATATAACTGCAAAGTTTCACCAAAATCCGTTCAGTAGTTTTTGCGTGAAAGAGTAACAAACATCCATCCTTATTCACAAACTTTGGCTTTTATAGTATTAAATCGTATAATGGTTTCTACATAAAAGAAATACTTTTTCTCCAATTTTTTCTTTTTTTTCGATAGCTATTCAAGAATAATGTTTGTGAAGCTGTGTTATATGAATAAGTTGTATGTTTATTTCAGATTTAAGACTGAAAAAGGGCATGAAGACAGCTAAGCAGCGTCTCGGCAAAATCCTCAAAATACACAAGATGGTATATTAAATAAACATAGCTTACGTACGTAGATGTATATTTTATATATATATAGCACGGACCAATATGTGTTGTGGATATGTCGGTCTATCGTTTGTACGGTCGGATTTATAAATTATATATTTTGTACCTTATTTTGAATATTATTAGAGTTTAATTTGGGGCCGTTGATGTATTACGTAATCAGATTTATAACACTTATTTATTTAGACAAGGGGGTGGGCTGGGCCACCCCGCCCCCACCCCCTTGTCTAAATAAATAAGCAAAGTTCTTACCCCCTCCCCCATGCTTACGTAATCATTTTTTAATTGATGTATTATTTTTTTAATACAATGTGAGGGTTGCCGTTCTTGTAAAAAAGTAATTTACTGCCGATGACGTAATCATCATCTAGACTCCCCCACCCCCATGTCATCCAAAATAAGCAAAGCAAATACCCCCCTGCTCCTAGTATATAGTGCTTACGTAATACTTGAACGACCTCTTTGTGTTGATCGGACTTGAATATTTTGAGACTTTCCGTTTCTGCGCACCTTATATTTTGCTAGTTTGTAACTTGTGATATTATATTATACTTGATATATAAATTTATATACTTTAAGAGCAGTTGAGAGTGTTGTGGTTGTTTGCGGAAGGTAGTGAGTTCAAACTTGGATGAATGAAAACGTATGTGCGTCTATACTACACAGAGATGTGTAAATAATTTGTTTAATGAACACAAAGAAAATTGCATTAAATGCTTTTATATATTTAAAATGGTCGAGGTTTTGTTAACACGCAATATTAGAATAGCAACCCTAAATCGAATATTGTTAAGGTCTATTTTCCGTTGGAATTTACAAATTCGACCGTACGTCATCGCAATGTATCGTATTCAGGTCATAAATTGTAATTTACATACGCATTGTGTCGGCTCTGGAGCGTGCAGTTTTATATGACAATCGTATAACAACCTTACTACCTTTGTTTACGGTTCATAATTGTTTTATCAATTATAGTATTTAACCCGTCATTTGTAATACGTTTGTCATTGGACACTTAAAATATAATGTTGCCAGCTATAAGAGATGTTTGTGAATTGTGTCTTATAACAGGCGGGTTAGGGTTGACACTATTAAAAAAATAAACAATTTGTGTGTATTAAATGTTGCTGTTTCATAAATTATTGGTGTAACGGTTATATAATAATAAAGACCTAATAAATTTGTTCAAGTTATTCGACTTTTTGGGAAAATTAAGTGTTGCCACTGTTATATTTCTTTATCATAATAAAATGGTCAAATATTTTATTTTTGTATATGAGTGAGTTGTATATAAGGTTTTTTCTTTATTATTTTACGACAGGTATTATCTATGACGTTTCTGTAATACTTTTCTCTTTGGTAAGACAAAAGACAATAAATAGATCACCTTGCAGTTTTTGAGGTATCCTCTTGATGTTTGCAATGCGGTATTGTGATATGCGGCGCGGTATTTCACTAACCTCAAACGCATTGCACCGCAACGCAACGCATCGCATCGCACCGCAAGCATCGAGGTGCTACCTTAATATGCCCTCTCCGAGGCAAGCTGATTTTGATTTCTTTGTACGTGTACGTGTAAAATTGTGTGTTAAATTGTATTGATCCAACCTAACGGGTTGTGTATTGAGATCTGAAATGTTTAGTTTAATTCATTATTAAGTTTTATGATTGCAGTAGCTAAAAATAATATATGTCCCGTCTGTTATGTCTTTAGTCTTTGACAAAATTTAGTTTTTAAAACATTAAATTAGGTATTTTCACAATTGCATAATTAGATCCCACCTTGTTAGATAGTTGATTGGGAATTATAATTATAGGAGGCATCTCAATGCTTGGGGTGTATTGCGCAGCTCTGCGGTGAATAATTGTACTATAGCGTAAAGATGTTTTCGGTGCAGTAATACACAGAGTATTGTGTGAAAAAAATACTTTTTTTAAGTCATCAACATCAAGCTCTCACTACCGGACGTGTCTTTTATTTCGTCATCCCCTTAGATTATCAAAGCATTATCAACAAGTGTAGGAACAATCCCTACAATAATGAGAGTTCATAAATTCAAATTCAAAAATAATTTATTCTACATGAATTTTAGCCGCTATTGAACGACAAGTTATAGTTAGGAGTATAGAAATATATAATGTATATGATACATATATATATATATGTATCATATACATTATATATTTCTATAATATTAAATTAATTAAAAATGAGTTGTTACTACTATTTTATTTGGTATATCTTAGTGACATAATATTAGTAAAATTTGTGTGTGATTTGTTACACATAATAGAGACGATCGGCCTTATTACAAAAAGATAAACCTGGTTTAGCACTAGTAATAAACCATTCACCAATGTATTCCTTATTACAAAATGAAGTTTATCTCTAAATAGTGATTCGTCTATGGTCTAAAGTTAGACCTGCGATGCCCCTAGTTTAACAGTGGTTTAAATGCAAAAAATCAAACTCCATTTTAAAAATTGTATTTTAAGTTGTTGTTTTTCGAAAAATATTTTAACTAAATTAAAAATATATTAATTAAAAATATTTAAAGCTAATTTTACGATAATAAAAATATATAAAAGATGTTGCGGGTGAATAATAAGATGTTGCTGGTCGAGACGATGTATATTACTGATGATGATAAACTGACAATGTGTACATAGAAATAATGATCTTATATACTAAATAACAATAGGAAAATGTAAGGTGGGGTGACACAGTTTAGATACAGCAGTGCCTAGTAGACAATATTGAATTTGTCTTACTAGACATTATTAAATGCATTTATTATTTTATGTATCTAGGTGACTGTGTCCCATAGATATTCCCCCCTTGAGAGAAAAAAAATATATATTACACACAAAAAATTATAAAAGTTAATTATGAACAATATAAATTAATAAAATATTTTTTTTTTTTTTTTTACAAATTAAATCTCACTGTAGGATAAGATGTGCGTCCATAACGTGTTACTTTCAAAGGTCGGCTGTCAGCTGTTGACGAGCGGTGTCCTGTTTCTGCCTCGCCAGCAATTGCTTCGTTGTTTATTATGAATGCTGGCTTGAGTCTATCTATTGACACATTTGTTTCTTTTTCGTCACGCTTGATTGTGAATACTTTTCCTTTGCGTTTGACAACCAAAAATGGTCCTTCGTATGGTGGTGTCAACGTTGGACGTAATCTGTCACATCTCAGGAAGACGTGTGAGCAATCCATTAAACGAGGATGTACAAAAATGTTTTTATTTGTACTCTCTCTCTGTGGGATGGCTGCAACTCGGCTAATATTATTTTTAATATCTTTTATGAAGTCAGCATACGTGATTTTCGGCTCATCATAGAAAAAATTTGCCGGTAACTTGATGGTAGTGCCATATACCAGTTCGGCGGCGCAGCAACCAGTATCTTGTCGATAACTTGAGCGTAGTCCGAATAGAACTGATGGCAATTCTTTTGTCCAATTTATTGTGTTGGCTCTGGCTACTAATGCTGTTTTCATTGTTCTGTGTAATCTTTCCACTTTTGCATTAGATTGTGGATGGTACGGTGTAGTACGGATTTTCTCAATTCCCATCAACTTGGCAAGTCCTCTGAAAACGTCGGACTCGAATTGTCGTCCTTGGTCAGAGGTGATGTAGTCTGGACATCCAAAGCGGCAAATCCATCCCTCGTAGACAACTCTTGCAACAGTTTCTGCAGTTATATCTGCAACTGGAAAAGCTTCAGGCCATGAAGTGCATCTGTCGATTATAGTGATAATATATCGTTTATTTTGCGAAGTAGGTAATGGTCCTACGATATCAATGTTTACATGTGAAAAACGCGTAGCAGGCAAATATTTACCAAGCGGTGAATTTGTATGTCTATGCACTTTCGATTTCTGACATTGTAAACATGATTCACACAATTTATTTATATCTGTATTCATGTTTGTCCATATATAATTATTGCCAATTAATTTTCTTGTAGTTTTTTTACCAGGATGACTAAGATTGTGGTAACTTTCGAAAATAGTTTTTCTGAAATCTGGCGGCAAGTAAGGACGTACTATTTCAGTGGAAATGTCACAATATATTTTTTTATTTGTATTTGGTACTTGAATTAATGACATACGTAATGATTTATTCTTTTTGAGTTGTTGTAACTCAATGTCATTCTGTTGACTTTTTTCTAAGTCGGATAAGTCGATAACGGTTGGAAGTGATATTGTTTCGATGACTCGTGATAATGCATCGGCAACCGTGTTATCGTGTCCGCTTACATGCTGTATATCTGTACTGAATTGTGATATGAAATCCAAGTATCTGATCCTTCTAGGTGACTCGTCCACCGAAAGTTTCTTCGCAAAAGCATGAGTTAGTGGTTTATGGTCGGTGTATATTGAGAAAACACGACCTTCAATTAATCGTCTGAAGTGTTTTATTGCCATATATATTCCCAATAACTCCCTATCGTAGGTGGAGTATCTCGTTTGAGCTTCTGTTAACGATTTGGAGAAAAATGAAATTGGCTTCCATTCGTTTTTAATTTTTTGGTGAAGAACTGCGCCAACACATTTTAAGCTAGCGTCAGTCATCAATGCGATCCTTGCGTTCGACTCTGGAAACGTCATAGTTGTGACGTCACGCATGTCTTGTTTACATTGTAGAAATGCTTGTTCTGCTTCCGTATTCCATACGATAATTGTTTTATCGTTTTTCTTGCTATTTCTTAAAAATACATTGAGCGGAGCTTGATGCTTGGCAGCGTGTGGAATTAGGTGCCTATAAAAATTCACCATACCCAAATAACGACGTAAATCTTTGACTGTCGTGGGTTTAGGGTAATCGTCGATTGCTTTTAGTTTTTCTTGTGTCGGTTTCATCCCTTGGCTCGATATATGATAACCAAGAAAATCTAACTCATTTTTGAAAAACTCGCATTTGCTCATATTTATTGTAATTCCATTTTCATTTAAACGAGTAAAAATAATTTCTAAATGTTCGTAATGTTCCTTCTCGCTCTCGCTGGCTATCAGAATGTCATCGACAAATATAAAAATAAAGTCTAAGTCTCTGAATAGCGAATCCATAAATCTTTGGAACGTCTGACCCGCGTTTCTTAAACCGAATGGCATTCTTGTAAATTCGAAAAGTCCAAACGGAGTTATA